CTCCGCTCTCGCTCTCGGACGGAGAGTGTGCGAGGGAAAAAATAACAAGGGCGCAACAACGAGAGAAAAGTCGAGGAGAAAAGCTGAGCTGCGAGGCGGTGCGTGCAAACGACGCGCTGCAGCTGGTTGAGCTGCTCGCCCATAAAGTAAACGGGGGTAAAGATGAAAACGAGACGGGGCCAGGCGAAAAAACGAGGGCGGGACGTGAGGGGGGAGTGAAATAGAGATCGGTAGCGGCGTAATTTACGGGGATAGAGGAGTGTCCATAAAAATGAAGTGCGTTCCTGGGGCCCGTCGGAGAGCCGGTCCGACACTGGCCCCTTCGAAGCGGCTTGTGTTCCGCTGATTGAAAAATAAAGGACGAGCGCGCGAGAGGAGAGAGAAACGTTTATCGACGTCCAATTGGACGTACACGGTCCGCCACGCGGCAACATGTGTCTTTTATTGGCGAATGAATTTTCATTCGCGATGTAACAGGAAGTCGAGGAGGCCACGGCCGCGCGCTAGGCAGCGGCCCGGCCGGAGAGTCTCGGGCCTGGCCGATATATATTTCGATAGGTCCCAATCGTACGCGTGCCCTTTACGTGTAAAGACGCCTAATGAATATGCATCGCGCGCTGCGCGATGCGCGTTTTACGCTGTCTCTTTCTCCCTCTTTCTCCTCCTCGCCCACCCTTTCACTCGGACGTTCTCTGTCTCTCTTGCTCTCTCACGGCGTCTCGTCGGGCTAGTCAATAAACTTAAGCGACCATAAAATCCAATTAGTGTGAAATTAATACTGCTCTACGCGGCGAAATGGCGGAAGAAGCGGGGATCAATTTATATCGCGCCGGTGAAGAAAATGTCGAGGTAATTTCCCGCGAGCAGGAAACGCGTACAAACGGACGAGGAATAAATTAGTGCGCGGGGTGAACGTTATTAGGAGCCGATCGAGCCAATTACGGACTGTCTCCTCGGGCGGGGCGGGGGCGGGGAAAACAGGACTCTCGCTGATTAACTGGTGTCGGTATCAGGAGAAAATCAAGCGCCATTATGAAAACTGAGACAGTGGCGCAAGTAGTGGACAGAGTTTCCTCTTTCATCTCCTTTTCCGCCGCTTCTTCCTCCTCCTCCTCCTCAAACCTAACCTCCTCAAACACTGCTCGTCATGAGAGAGCCTGGCAAATCTCGTTTGACAGTCTTTCCCTCTTGCTAGAAGAGATCGCTAGAAGAGATTCAGAGGGACTCGAAGCTCTCGCGATTCCGTTAGATAAACGAAGGTTGAGCGTACTTTGCTTGTTAGGGCTATCTTGCTCGCGACTTCGCGCACACAGACACACACACGTTCTCACACGTACGTGTCTCGTCGCATTCGCGAATACATCTCCGGCCCTGACCATACACCAGGAACACTCTACCTGCTTCAGCGCTCTCTCTTTCTCTCTCTCTCCCTCTCTCTCTCTCTCTCTCTCTCTCTCTTGCTCTCTGCATACTCCCCACCACCTTCGTTAATTACGAGAACCCATACCGTGGCCGCAGGACCGGACCTATTACGAGCGATTACACCGCTATTAGTTACCTACCGGGTGTTCCACGGCGCGGAGGAAGGCACCGAAAAAAGGACAAGAAGAAAGAAAAAGCTACCCAGATAGATTGCGCAGCGGCCCAATGGCGGCGCGATACTGTATGTATGTAACTGGATCCGAGTGTGCAGGGGACTTAATAATGCAAAACCGTCGTTCCGCGGCTACGGATGGGAATTTGCATGAGGATCGTCAGCCTGGCCGCGGGAAGGCACCGATGATCGATGTATCATTCCGCGAATTTACACTCGCGGATACCATACTCGCGCAGGGACCAGCGCAGGACGCCGCGGCGGCCGCTTGTGTGCGTGTGTGTGTGTGTGTGTGTGTGTACGCGTGCGCGAGCGACTCGTTTCGAATCCGCCGTGGATTAAGATTGAAAAAGGCAAACAACAACAAGAGGAGCAAAAAGGCGGAAGAAGGAGAAAAGAGAGAGACACAGACACGATCATCACGCAAGATTGATGTACTCGGGATCTGTTCCCCGGTGGCATCCGACTCCGGGATTGATTTGGATCTCGTCTCCCCTGCTCCCTCCCCCCTTCTGTTTTTTCCCCACGAAACGCGGCATCAGCGACGACACACAATGTAACGCACGCGAGCGAGCGAGTTAATCCCACCTCGCCGGTGGATTATTGAGCAATCACTTTTCCATTAGGCCGATCCATTATTTCTCGCTTAAGGTCTAGTTTGGCGCGTCACTTAACACGCACACACGTCGCTTTGTTTCCGCGCGAGAGGGTCGCGCGGCTCACGCTCGGCCGATCATCAGCGCTATTTCGAGGGTGGGCCCGCCCGCGCGTGCACACCTAGGATAACCAGATCTTCTTTACGACCGCGCTCAAGGACTACCCGTGTGCGCCGATCGTAAACGTCCTAAACGGCAGGGCCGTTTTCGTGAAGGAATTCGGTGAGCAGCCGCGGACGATAGCAGTGAGAGTGCACAGGAGCCGGACGCCCCGAATATTTTCGTGGCAGCCGATAGAGTCGGCCGCGTGGTATCTAAATCCCGTTAACTCCGTCGAGCCCGCTGAAGCCCTGAAGCCTGATAAATGCGGCTAGACACCTCGCCTATCGTCCGGCCTCACGGGAGGTACCTATATACGAGCTTTCTATCGCCCGCGTCCGGGATGTACCGTAAATTCTCTCTGCCGGGCCAAGATCGCCCTCGGATAGTGAGAGAAGCACGCGGATTGGGAGGCAGGGCGGTTCTGAGGGCCGCAGCTTCTCGTGGCCGAGTTGTAGTTTTCGCCCGAACGACGGCAGGCGACGCGAGTAGAGACGCGCGCGGTTTATGAAAGCGAAATTGCATATCGCGATGCGGTCTTTCCTTGAGGATGAATTTCAGCGAGCGCGACGCATCTCGATTTTGCGCGATTTTGTCCCGTGAGAAGGCGACTTCCTGTCGCTGGCTCGACTTTCAGTCGCGTCCGTCGTTATTTTCAGCTGCACGCGGCTTGGGACTTTGAAATCGTGAAGGAAACGATTTCAAATCGTATGTGACTCTGCGCGAGGAGTCTAATTTTGCATATTGCACTGTGACTCGACGGAAGGAAATTGTTTACGATCGCAAGATTTCACATCGTCATCGTCTTGCGTCGAGGATGACCATGACGGTCACACCGGTGACCTATATTGTGGCACCACCGTATCTCTCATTGACCTTTTGAATATTGTGAACGTATACATACATATATGTATATATTAGATATGTGCGAACTATTCGAATTCAAATCGAATCGAATCGAATCTAATGTAATTCGATTCGATTCGAATCTGAATCCCTATGATTCGAATCCGAATAATTCGAAAATTTCGAATCGAAGATTCAATTACGAATCAAATATATTAGCGTGCATTATATTTGCATGCATCAAGTACAAAACGAGACATCTGGGCCTGTATGTTTGAACCCTTAACTTGTAATTAACTTAACTTATAATTAATAACTTAATTATAAATTACTTTAAATATTTAAATATATATTTTACTTTAAGATGATATTACAATATCAATATCCCCTTTCATATTAAAACCTTCCATCATTATGTGCATGTTTAATAGTCATGTTAAATTTTTTAATGATTCGATTCGAATTCGAATTAAAAAAATGAGATTCGATTCGATTCGACATAAAAATTCTTGATTCGCACATCTCTAATATATATATATATATATATATAAATCCGGCACGTGTTATCGGTGCGGATTAAGCACTGCGACTTTCAGTGTGCTATTTCTACACGCATCAGCGTGTAAATCATGCCATTCGATATGTTTAAACGTTACTTGACACGTTTAAACGTATTAAATAATGTGATTTAAGACACAGGAACTGTGCAAAGAAAGCTTCAACCAACCGCGCGCGTTTATGCACGTATAAATAACACACTCGGACTTGCAGTGTAGGTGTTTGATGGATTTCTGCGGCTTGTCGTAGTCTCGACACTTGCAACTGATGTCAAGCAACTGTTGCGCGTATATTCGTGTCCTTTTACGTATTTCTACGACGGTAATAAGTAGGACTGTTTTTTCCTCACTTGCCTCGGTCTCATTCGGCTTCTCGATTTTTCAGAAAGTTATTTCTTCCATTAATTGGCTAATCCGACAGTCCAAAGTATTTTATTCTAACCGATCGATTATCTGAGAATACTCCGCACTCAAGGGGATTATTATAGGATTATTATGGGATAGATTACGCACAAAGTATGCATTAATTAGTCGCGCTAAAAGAATCAGTTCGCAGAGAGAGAGAGAGAGAGAGAGAGAGAGAGAGAGAGAGAGAGAGAGAGAGAGAGAGAGAGAGAAAGAAAGAGAGAGAGAGAGAGAGAAAGAGAGAGAGAGCCAATGAAACGAGGTAAAAAATAAGCGCCACTCGTCATCGACGACAGTTTGTTGCTCATCATATCTATCGCCAATTATCAGCTTTTATGCTTTTATAATTTTATAATTAACGGCCATCAACATGGTAATTTAAAACACGTTTAGCGCAAAAGCTTGAATGCTAAAATGCGACGAGTGAGTGCGATGACTGATAACTGTTCGTGTCGAATGTGTCACCCTCACGATTTTTCTATGTGATATCTTCGGCTGTTTCGAACTTGCAGAAACTCGTCGGTTCGTCGGATCGTTTATGGTTTCAATGACTCGCAAGATGAGTTATTTTACAGACGCGAATCAGAGAGAGAGAGAGAGAGAGAGAGAGAGTTTCGCTGAAAACTGGCAGAACGTGCCGGCAGACGCTTCGATTGAACACGACACGCGCGCCATTGTTTTGTTATTATTAACAAAACGATGTGACTAAAATCCGAACTGAACTTTCGCGAGCTCTTGATAACATCGAGCTCTATCCGAGCTTCGTCCCGAGTCCGCGATTCCGGCAAGAACGTATTCATAAATTCCATCGAACGGCCGTCCGCGAGCTGTCACTCGACTCACCTCGTGAACACGTCCGGGTAGTGCGTCCTGGAGAAAGCCTTCTCGAGCTCCTCCAGCTGGAAGCTGGTGAAGGTAGTTCTGTAGCGACGCTGCTTCCTCTTCGGGGCGAAGTCGTCCGTTTCGGCCTCGCTCTCGGGGCTGGTCGGCGCTGCTCTTGGATGAGCGCCCTCTTCCTCAGGCCTCACCTCCTCCGTGGAGATGCCCATCTGGACGGACTGAGGCGTTGTCGCGGTCGATGCCGGCGCCGATTGCTGGTGAGGCTGCGGGTGAGGTTGCTGGCTCACCTGCTGGCTCACCTGAGTCACCTGGCTCGAGCTGCTCGTGCTGCTCGCAGGACTCGTCTGCGAGACGGCCTGCTCGCTGCCTCCTCGCGACGAATGATCTGCGCAGAAAAATAACCGCGTCACATCGCACGTATGATAATTGCCACCTTGGCTGAGAGATTTAATTACACGCGGTTATGATTAATTGCTGACACCGTGAACACGGAAACCTGCAATCCTATGAGCCGTCGAAGCGCGGCGGGCGTCGAGGTCGTCTCGGTGAGTTGAGACTTTTTATAGATTTTTATAGATCGACGGTAACTTGATTGTAATACAGCTGTACACAATCAGAGCGAGAATGCTACAGATCATCACAGTTCCGAGAGTGAAGTCTGATCACACGCGCGAGTCTTGCGAAAGACACTTTCCGTGAAAGTCGGGAATGCATCGAAAACGTCACTCGCCCGCATCGTCGGTCAGTCGCAGTCGCAGTCGCGGATAAAAAAAGTCATGGCCAGGAATTTCAAAAAGCACAACTCACTCCCTTCCAATTCGAGACCGCGAGCATCACTGGCATCAGCGAGATAATCGCGACGATTATTCGCAGCCTCCATTTCCGAAGAGCCGAATTTCGCGGACGAAACGGCGTCGCGTCGACCTCGTAGAGAGACATACGCGGATACGCGGTAATTTTGACTCGCCTCGAGAGGCACGCGACACACCTCACGCGCTTCGTGCGTACGCGGACACGTACCTTTAATGAGCTGATTGGATGACGCTAAGCGCTCGTCGGGACATCCGATATGCGACTGAGCAACGCGCGCGGAGAATGGGACGATTCATCGGGCGTCACGTGATCTAGCGACCGCAGCGAGCGTATTATCAGCGACGATCGCAGTTTCTACGAATAGTCAGGGAAATCACTGCGGTCTAGTTTCCGCCGCGAGCGGATCTCTCGTGAACGGCCGGCCGCTCGGCCGACGCGCCGGCCGTAAACCACCTCGGGATTTGGGATTTCCGCGCCTCGAATTTCCTCCTTCCGTGGAAGGATTTACCAAATGCTATCAAGCCGAGCCATTGAAGAGCAGTCGCGTTACGACGCGGTTAAGAAACTTCAGAGGGCCTCCGCGCGAAGTCTGCGAAGACTCCTCGCCACGAGCACCGGTGCACGCGGTGCGAGCGGGAAGATACTGATTCTCGCGAGGAAGGAAGAAACGTCAATACGACGGACGTTATCGCGACGACGCTCGTTATCGCGTCGGGAATATAACATTTTTGATAAATCCGCCCGACGTTGATCAATTCGGCCGATCTCGCGGCCGATCTCGCGGCTAAATTTAGAACGGGCACGCTCGATAGACCTCTATCGGACATTTCATCTTATCTTCCGCAATAATAACGACGCGTGTATCGCGATATAAAATATTATGACTGGAGATAAAGGGAGCGCATAGGGGAGAGGAGAGTGAGAATAAATTTCAGATTGATTTCGAGTACAGGCAGGCCGATATCGCCGGCGGGAGACTCGAGATTACGCGCGTGCACAAGTGTAAATAATTATCCAGTGTTGTGTAGCACGGGCAAAGTGAAGCGGATTGAAGTGAAGCGTATTTTAAATGCAAATGCCGAGGCGCGCGCACGCACAAACACACACACACGCGCGCGCGCGCGCGCGTGCGTGCGTGCGTGTGTGCGGACGCGAGAGGGCAGAGGTATCATTCCTTTCACCGCGACCTTGCTTAGTAGGAATTAATGATTCCTACGAGCCCGCACCTCGGCGCGATCACGATGCTGCCATGCGGCGCGCTGCGATCGTGTAACAGCGTTCGATATTGCTTGTAAAGTCGTAACGGAATCGTTCGCGACGGATACTCGCAAGTCGGTGGCGCCGGGAGAGCCGATGTGTGTTACAAGCCTCCGCGCTTCATAATTTCTCGTCATCGTGCTCGCGAAATTGCCGTGAGTACACTCGACAAGGCGCGTAATTGAAGAAGTAAATTTAAGCAGAGCAACATGCCGAGGCGATCGGCCCCATCGAGTGCGTTATCGAGCGGCTGAGAAAATAAGGGACATGTGTGTATATATATATTTCTCTCTCTCTCTCTCTCTCTCTCTCTCTTTCTTTTATACTTTCGTGCGCTTCCGAGCACGCTTGAACGCGACTACCTTCTTCGTCCTCATCGCATCTTCTTCTGCTCCTCCTACGTACACCCTCGTGTGCGTAAACACGCTTGATTCAATTTGCCTCAATTTAAATTCCGCGAGGAACTCCACTCGCAACGGCTACGCGTATCCCCCCCCGTCACGTCTCGCGCATATCGGCCAAGCCGATATGCACGGCACTTAGCCGCATCGATATGCACGCGCTCGCAGTGCGCGATGGTCTTTGGGAAAAACGCCGGCCGGTCGAGCAAATTTCTAGATGCGAGCCTACGCATACGGGCGATTCGATAGGAGAGACGGTTAAAACGGCGGAGGGAAGGATCCGAGTGGTTTACGCGGTTCTTAAGCGGCAGTTTTTAATCGAGTCGATTTATCGGAAATGGGCTTATAATGCAGGTAGCCCCGGCGTAATGCCGATAATATACAAGAGACCTAAATCCCCGGTGTGTGCCGGATTTTCCTTTTTGTTTACGCACACGCACGGCGCGGCAACAACAGCCACGAGGTGCATCGACGCGCTAAGAGAGCGAGACGAAGTTGGAAGGGGCGAGAAATAGAGAGAGAGAGAGAGAGAGAGAGAGAGAGAGAGAGAGAGAGAGAGAGAGAGAGAGAGAGAGAGAGAGAGAGAGAGAGAGCGCAGGACACGTAGGTAGCCTTTTATATTATAATAGCATTAATAGGACCCGAGGCCGCACTTAGCGTTCGCTCGCTCCGGCAAGTTCGCCTCGTCGTTATTAACTGAAAATTACCGAAACCGAAATCTAATTCGCGTAAACACTATAATTCCACCGCGTGCCGTGGAGCCGGGAGTCGCGTTCCTTTTCTGCCTCCCTCCCCGCTGTGTAAGCGCTTGATCTCTCTCGTATTCCGCCGTCGCGCGATAAGACACGTGGAGAAGCTGCGGCTCAATCGAGCGTACAAATGTACCCGCGTCCGTTCTCTCGAGACTCGACGACGAGCAGTGGCGACCGGCCATGGTCGATTCCTGTTTCCTCACGCTTTTTCAACCGGGCTCGCCCCGCGACGCGCACAGATAAGAGAATCGCTGCGAGCACCGCGCGCGCGCGTACTCCACGTGTTTATTTCGTGCAGCTCTCAGCTGCTGACGAGAAGGCCTCTTGAAAGCTGGTGCGTTTCCGTTTCAAGTCCGTCGAGGAAGACGAGGAAACGATCTCGACAGTGGCTTCACATAGTTAAGATTGTCGACGTCGTCGTCGTCGTCGTAGTCGATGTGGCCCACAGTGGGGCCGATGACATTCTTTGGTTGAAAAAATTCTCTAGAGACCTGAATTTCCAATCATCCGATCATCGACACCAATGGATGAGGTTGATCCTGAATAAATTCCGAAGAGATCTGTCTTGCCAAAATTGAAAAAAATTTTTTTTCTCGGGTTACTAGCCCCAAAAGAGGAAAAGTTATCGTTAAACGCGAGAAACTTGTGAAATACTCATTGTTCGACAATTATTTCTATCTAATGTAGCGTATTCAGCGGATTGAGACTATGAAACCAGTCACTTCGTGACTTATAACAGACACTTCGAGATTTATCGATCTTGAACCAGAAACCCATTAACCCAAAACTCATATGATGAGGTGGGCTTTGAAATTCTGAGTTTTCTAAAAGGCGATTATAAGTTCTGGGGTCTCGCATTTAGTATCCACAGACTCGAATCCATTGAGGTCGAACCCAAGACACTGTACTTTAAACGATAAACTTTTAAGACAAACCCTAAACCCATGAATCCTGAACCGATAATTTTTTTCAAAATTTCAGCTAGACAGATCTCTTGGAATTTATTGAGGATCAGCCTCATCCATTGGTGTCGATGATCGGTTGGAAATTGAGGTCTCTAGAGAATTTTCAACCAAAACATGTCATCTGGTGCGGCGGTACAGAGCACAGCTCGCGGAAATTTCTGCCGCTCACGCGCGCGTTCGACGCAATCGCGACGGGGAGTGACGTTATCACCGTGTCGACCGCGGCAACGTCAATTACACGCCGCGGTAATTCTGATTGACGGTATAACCGCTCTCGACGACAATATGCAAATGAAAACATCGGGGAAACGCAAATGTTTAATTAACGCACATTCATAAATGTCAAATAGCGAAATCGGTTTCTCTGCCGCCCCGGCGGCGATGGCGACGCTTATCACGGGGATCGCCTGGTATTGGCAGTCGCGTGATACGCGTGATACCTCGTCTAATGGACGATAGCTGCTTTATTTTGTCGCACGAATGCGCGCGCGTCGTAATAAACATCGGCCGGCGTTTCAGCGCAATCCCATCCGCGAGGCGAGCGACGGCGACGGCGGCAAGCCAATTTGCGCGCTGAGCCACTCGGCTCGCGCGCGTTGCTTAATTCGATGCGAGTTCGATCTCGCGAGCGCCCATTTATTTCTCACCGACGACCGTTACGCGCGCCTTGACAATATCATGAATGTTCAATTAGATACGTCGTGCTCGATTAGAAGCGATAGTAGACTGCGCCGGCCGCAACCGGCCCGATTTATCTCGGCTACGCGAGAATATTACTTTGTTAATACGCCCGATAAAATTGTGCATTAGTTTACATCGCGTTTCTTTATTTATTCTCGACCGTGCGAATATGTGTTCTCTCTCTCTCTCTCTCTCTCTCTCTCTCATCGGACATATTTTCTCCGTGTTTTTCTTTTTTGCAATACCCTCCAGAGTGTCGAGACGGGACGTCCTTTGCTCACGAGAATCTGAAAAGATCGAAACCGAGCAGAGGCGGATAAGAAGAGAAAGATGCGAATAAAGAAATGTCATCTCGTACTTGACACGATGGACACCGTGATGGTCACCGGCGAGCAACACTGCGATACTATCTCGTCATATTCTTTGTTATAAGGTATAATTAATTGTAATTAATTGTGTTGGTTGATCGGTCGTACGGCAGAGTGAGATTACGTTTAGTAATTATATCTTCGATGA